GTTTGAGTGGTTTTCCCGTTTAAAAAATGGTGAAACGTCAATTGATGACAAACCTCGTTCTGGTCGTCATTCCACGGCCCGAACACATGAAAATGTTAAAAAAAATTCGTGAAATCATCAAGGGAGATCGATGACGGACCATTGAAGAAATTGTGGAGCTGTCGGGAGTGACTTGGAACTCAGTTCAGCGAATTTTGACAGAAGATTTGGGAATGAAGAGGGTGGCTCCGAAATTCGTGCCACGACTGCTGACTGCTGAACAAAAACAAGGTCGCGTGGATGCATGCTGTGCTTTGAAAGAAGAGTCCCGAAATGATAACACTTTTTTTAAAAATTATCACCGGTGACGAAACCTGGTGCTATGCTTACCATCCTGAATCAAAGCAACAATCAAGCCAGTGGAAGACTTCAGGTTCGCCTGGCCCCAAGAAAGCTCGTCAGGTGAAATCAAACATGAATACAATGCTGATTTGTTTTTTCGATGTGAGAGGAGTCGTCCATTCAGAGTTTGTTCTGCAGGGTCAGACAGTTAACAAGGCTTTCTACTTGGAAATTTTGAAAAGATTGCGCAACAGTTTGCGGCGGAAGTGGCCAGATTTGTGTCAGTCGGGTGACTGGTTTTTCCATCATGACAGTGCCCCTGCTCACAGAGCCCTGTCTGTACGACAATTCTTGACCAAAAATGGTATGACCCCTGTTCCTCACCCTCCATACTCACCCGACCTTGCCCCGTGCGACTTTTTTTTGTTTCCTCGAATGAAAAGAGACATGAAAGGAAAGCGTTTTGCTCATGTTGCTGAGGTGAAGGAAAAAACGACGGAGGCGCTGTCAAGCATCTCAAAAGATTAATTTAGACAATGTTTTGAAAAATGGAATAAAAGACTAGACAAGTATATTAGTGTAAGTTGAGAGTACTTTGAAGGGGATTGAAGGTTTGTGCTTAAAATTTGAATAAATAAGTTGAAAAAAATAAGTTTGGTTTCTTTTGGGCCACCCCTCGTACATCCTCCCTTTCATAGTGTACAGAAACACTCGGAAGAGAACCAGTATCACGCAATGTTAGGTGAATTCGCATAAATACACTTGGAGATGGAATCCGTTGATCCATTGGCATTCTTCAACAGCAGCACGTGCATTGCCACCGCAAAATCCATACCCAAAATGCATATCACAATATTCCACGTATGAAAACACAAAAGGCATTTCAGCAACTCCGCACAACTAATTTACCATCCGTTCACAACGCGGCCGCAATGTACCCTGGAGGTAGCACATTAGCTTACGGCTAGTGTGAATCACCACACTCAAGGACAAACACAGATAAGACTTCTCAGATGACAGGTACAGTGCGTGGACCCGCCAGAAGACCACACTTTTCTCGGGCCATTATCTCTGTAACCGTTCAAGTTTGGACATAGGTGTTTTGGGTTATATCGGCATACTTTGACATAAGGAACACCCTCCCGAAGTCTGGCACATTCCTCCTGCGACATCCTGTATATACTTTACTATGTGGCCCTAACATAAAAAGAATTGTTCAGCCACCCCACTGCATTTCTTTCACCATTTTTGTCCATCCTTCTATCTATGTGTAACAAATTGAGAACTTCTAAATGGATTTTCAGGAAATTTGGTATTGATGGAATGTATCAGCATATTTCAGTTTGTTTAAAATATGACAGTGAAAAATTATGCTTCTACACCCATCTCACACAAAATCGTGTGAACTTGCTAAATATATTTTGAACAAAAATTCTTTTGAAGAGAATTTGTAGATAAAAATGACACTCAACATTTCATGTGTAGTATGCATAGCCCATATTTTGTACAGTTTTTGATGTAATGAAACAGATTTTATGCAGTGCACAGGTGATAATAGGACAAATATTCTGGTACTGTCACATAAGCATACATTTTCTATGTTGCTTGGAGTTTTCATGTAGACATAAAAGTAATGAATAGTTGAGCATTCTCACAGTGTTCTGCATTATCTGAACCAAGAAGCTAATGATTTTCTGGTTATTAAGAATCTCTTATACTTAACTGTCAGCTGATGTTTTTTGATTGCTGGTTAGAACAGCTCTAGGTGCTAAGCATTGCTGTACCAGAGCGGGAAAGAGTCTATGCAGATACACAGTTGTCAGATTCTGGAATGTGGTTCCTTTTTTGTATCAGACAAGGGAGAGGTGCAGGATGTGGGTTCATGGTACCTCTATGGACCACCAACTTGAGAAGCAGACCTGCAATTACTGTTTGTGAAAAATTTTGCTAAGAAAAGTTGCAGCTGGCTAGGAATTGCTTGTTATGATACTTTCAGAAAAAAATGCCCACTTTTTCTACAGTATCTTTCCGTGTACATAACATTAACATCCTGACAGTGTTGATGTTTTACCTTGTTATAATGAAGTTCCTATTATAAGCCATGCTCATCATGTCCCATTTCTACTGTTTAATCATTAATCGTAGGAAGATTGTCATTATCCGAAAGGATGAGGTTTCAGCTGTATGATCATACCATTCGCATGACTGTATTTGCTCATAATTTATATGCCTTTTTATCCCCAGATTATGCCTGTTGACATGCATATGCAGTGGGTGGATGTTAGAGGTTCTCAGGCAAATGGTTTTGGTTTGTGTTGGTCCACAGGGTCTGATTCATTTTCATTAAATTTGTATAGAAAATTGACATGAAAAAAATATTAAGCTATATTAGATCTGTAACTTCTATTTGAAAAGATTTTCATGGTGGAATTATATTTAATAAAGCACAAAAACAAACAATGTAATTGTTGTAGCAACAGGTCTGTTGTAATAGAACAGTATACTATATCCCTGTCTTATATTAAGATAGGGTTTTTAGTATTCAGTGGCTTATTCGAACGGTCAGTTCTATTGGGCTGTAATTACCTGCAGTTTGGAAAAGCTCGACATTTTGTAGGAACATATCACCTCCATCTCCAGAGGCAAGTGAGCCAAGCAAGAGGTCAGCTAGAAGCATTTGGTAAGCAGAGCTTTCTGAAACCTACTTTTTAGCACTGAAGATGGAGGTGATATGTTTGAATTTTCATCTGACACTGTTACATCTTGTTTATGACATCACACAAGTGGGAACAGATTTGGAGTGACTCTTATATTATGGTCATTACTGGACATTACAACTGGATTGATGCACTGAGTAGAAATTGGATGAAAGCAGTGTCTGGCATAAACATTGTCCTTAGAAACCTCTCAGATGACTTGTATATGAGACTGGGGCTCCAAAATCATCACTATGAACTTCCAGAAGACAGCAGTAATGTGTGGACTGCAAGTATGTTTCCCTGCACACAGTATAATTTTGTAATTGGATCATTCAGTGTGTTTAAGGTGGTGAAATTGAGCTTGTCCTGATTTTCTTTCCTGACAAGGACTGGTGTCTCATATGATGAGCTAAATTCAAAGAATGACAGGTACTGGAGTTCATGCATTTCAGGACTCCTAGATGTGGTTCTGCCACGTGACTCAAAAATTGGTGCCTTCAAGGATTCAGTCAGTTTTGAAGAGTACATGGAGCAGGTACTCTGCTCATTTCTGGAGTGGTTTACTGATGACTGGCTATATGTGTTCCTCTGACAAGACTCCACTACTACCCATACAGCAAGGGAATGTGTGGATGTTTGTGGGGAACTGTTAGGGGCAGGATTATTGGTAGTGGTTGTGGCCAGCATGATCCCATGCCTTGTGCCTCTGTGGATTCTTGTGGAAACTGTTGAAGGAGGAGTTTTTTATAGATCAGAGCCTTACACAGGGAAGTTTATTCTGATTTTGAAGAATAACTTGACACACATGGATGTAAACTTTTTATACATGTGCCAGGAATGCTTGTGGAACTACAGAGAGCATTTCCAGACTCTGCTGTAATCTGTGAAATTTTCATTTGTAATGTGGTTAGATTTTGGGTTTGTAATTTCTGGTAGCCATATGTGCAGATTTGACTTGTTAGGCAATTCCACTTGAGATTTTCAGCTGTTTAGAAGGATAAGTGTATTATTTTCAGGTAATGGTAAACTTGCCTTCGTGGACTCAAGGGCTAAGAAGCAGCTACAGGGCTGGTATACTTGCCATGAACGGTCAGTTAGAACTGTTCAGGTTCATCCCCTTAAACAGCAATACTTCATAACCTCATCAGCATTATGGTAAGTATGCTGTAGCAGCAGCAGCCAAAGGTTAGTCAGTAGCATATTTACCCCAGAGCTTAGGATGAATATTTTAGTCACTTTGTAACATTGAAAGGAAGAACAGTTTTCACATCTATCTCTTGTATTCCTGTTCTGTTGGTTGGTGGTCCTAAGTTGTGTTGTGACGTGCGGTGTATACATGAAATTAATGGTACAGGTGATCTTTATTTTCCACATCCTGTTGTGTGTCATGTAACAAAGGGATACTTAGGTGCCATGAACACAACAGTTGATTATAAACTGATATTAAAATGTTTAATATGTGGGAGCCTACCACATTGGTAGCCAATCAGTGAGGACCACAGCAGTGCTAGCGCAAATTGGGTTGGGCATTGCTAGCAGCAGCACATAGAGATGTGGACCTCTGATGTTGTAACCAATCAGTCGCAGCTGCTCTTACCTTGAGAGAGCTCATCTATAGTGCACACAACAGTGAGTCTCCAAGCAATAACACCATCAGCTGACTGCTAGCAGTCGCCTAGACCCATTGAGAATTCCACCAGCAGTGCTTACTGCCAGCCAGCTACCAATGCAAAAAAGACTGATGAGGTGGCCTGCTGTGGCTGGAATTTCACTCGCATTCATAAAGCACCTTAGAGTTACAGCCCTTTACATGCCCTCCAACACCTCACTAGTTACCACACTCTTTGCTTGCCTGCTTGTCTGTATACTCTTCTTCTAATAGCAATAAATGTCTGTTATAAACTATGTGGTTGTCTCTCTGTGCTACTGGCCTTGATGTCCCACAAGTATTCTATTTATTTTATTGTCATCCCACTACATATTTCCATCTTGATATTGTACAATTAGTTGTGTTGACATTCCTTAATTATACCTTTAGTACAATTGATATTTTTTGATTCTGGTTTTGTGTTATATGTAGATTATGACTGAAATCAGGTTGTTAGCTGTCTGTAATATCATCTGCAGTTTGCCACATTGTCAAGCAATGGTACCAGTATACTAAAAGGTACTTATTTCAGCTTTCTCATATCTACGATTGCCTTACATTACATTATGATACACATGATGACATTGATGTGAATGTGAAGTTTGTATGTCTTGGAGTAATCATGGTTAGAGGACACAATTATTCTACATTGTGGCTGGAGGTAATTTTATTTGTTTTAAGACAATATACTTGGGTAACTATAGGCCTAACTTGTGTGGTACAATTTAATATATGTGAAATTCCAAAGAGAATCATTTTAGTGTGGGAATATGGTTGTATTTATGCAGCTTGCCCCAGAAGAACCATGTTCAGGAGGTGACGTATTTGAGTTTGCAGACTTAGAGACATTAAATGCAAGTAACCACCATGTACAACAGAAAATAGTCGAAAATGTGCACAACATAGGACCACTAAATTTTATAATTTATGATTCATACTACTCTATGTCTTCTAGGTTGGAGCATGTGAATAGAAATCGGCTTCATAAGTTCTTTTCACAGTTCTGTGCGTCTATATGTTATGTTTGTGTTCTCCTTGTTCTTCGGTTCTGCTAATACAGTATGTTAATAACTTTACAGTGAAGTGAAGGTTTGGGATCAACGATATCTGAATAAGAAGTCTCCAGATCCTGTTTGTAATTTGGTGCACCCAAAGGGCCTCACAAGTGCCTTTTTCTCCCCGGCTGGAAAATATGTAGTGACAACATGCAATGATGATCGTTTGAGAGTCTATGATGTCACAAACATGATTACAACACGACCAAATGGTACTTTTGGACAACTTTTTTTCACTTGAAATTCAGTAAGCATGTATGGAACTGGTTCAGAATTATGCCCTACTATGGAATTTGGTAACAGTGGTGCTGAGGCTTTGGATTTCTGTCATAGAAGTAGTTAATTGTGAGTTAATGTACCAACTTTTTTAACATACTACTGGACGTGATGCTTACTTACACATGGAGCTGAGCCCTTCTTGAGGAGCTGCCAATTCTGCAGCTACTCAAGAATTTCCCAGCATTTAATAGAATCCAAAGGTTCATTACCATGTTTACAAGAGCCCTCCACCGGTCTTTATCCTGAGTCAGATCAGTCCAATCCAAACCATGCCATCATATCTCTCTAAGATCCATTTTAATGTTGTCCACCCACCTACACCTTGGTCTTCCCAGTGGTCTCATTCCTTCTGGCTTTCCCACCAATATCCTATATGCATTCCTCGTCTCCCCTGCCCACTTCATCCTTCTTGACTTGATCATTCTCTTTATACTTGGAGAAGAGTAAAAGTTATGGAGCTCCTCGTTACGCAATTTTCTCCAAACTCTTGTCACTTCATCTCTCTTTGGTCCACATATTCTCCTCAACACCCTCAGTCTGTGTTCCCCCCTTAATGTCAGAAACTAAGTTTCACACTCATACAGAACCACAGGCAAAATTATATTTTTGTATATTCTAATTTTTATGTTTTTAGACAGTAGATGAGAAGACAAAAGGTTTTGAACTGAATGGTAGCAAGCATTACCTGAGTTAAATCTGCTCTTAATTTCCTCCTGAATCAGGTTTTGATCTGTTATCGTTGTTCCCAAATATTACTGTCACATTTTCAAAACACCTGTTACCTAACTTTAAGTCATGATTTTACCCTGCATTTTGGTGATGAGTAAGCAACACATACTTAGTTTTCTCTGTGTTTACTTCTAGACCACCCTCCTTATTTGCGTCAATTAAAGTTTGTCTCTTTTTATATATTCTCTCAGTTATTGAATGTACATAGGGTCAGTGATGTTAGGTAGATAGAAATGCATACAGCTGAGCCGTTAGTACCTGATCCAAGCCGTTTTGAGGTTTGAAAGTGCTATTGCAAAATTGAAATGGTACAACTTGCCAGGTAGTGATCAAATTCCAGCAGAACTTATTCAAGCAGGAGATGAAATATTGTGTTCTAAGAACCATAAGCTAATTACATACTTCTATTTGGCATAAGGAAGAATTGCCTGATCAGTGGAAGGAGTCTATTATGGTACCAGTTCACAGGAAGGGTGTTAAAACTGACTAGTAATTTTTGAGGGATATCACTGCTATCCACTTCATACAAAATTTTATCCAATATCTTTATCTCTCAGTAGTTAAACGGATCTATGAAAAGTGCTGTGAGTTTACTATTGATATCTATAACATATTTGTAGACTATACACAAGCATTTGATTCTGTTAAGAGGTGTCAAATAATATACTGCCTCAAAAACTACAATGTTCCATCCAATCTAATCAGACTAATAGCAGCAACTCTCCAAAACATGAAAGCAAAGGTTAAAATAAATGGGGAGCTTAGCGAAGGATTCCAAATAAGCTGTGGAGTGAAACAGGGTGACCCATTATCTGCATCACTTTCATACTAGTTATAGATGAGATCATAAAAATTCTAGACATTAGAGGTAATATTTCTACAAGGTTAAAACAGTTTTGTGCATATGCTGATGACATACTCATTGTTGTAAGAACCAAACAAACATTGATTAATACCTTTGAAGAGCTTAAAAAAGCCACACAGAAGTATGGGCTGTTAGTCAACGAACAAATAGCTAAATTCCTACACTGTTATAACAAACCTCAAATAATTCAAGATATCAGATCCAGTGACATAAACACAGAATAAGTTTCTGATTATAAATATTTAGGGTTTATAGTTAATTCAGATAACACAATCGAACGAGAGATTAAAGAGAGGTTAGCAACTGGAAATAAAACATATGCTGCACATTTAACACTGTTTAAAAGTAAACTTATTTCTAAAACAGCTAAATTAAGATTATACCAGATGGTAATTCGACCAACAGTAACCTATGCCTGTGAAACCTGGACACTTAAAGAAGCCGCCATTAAACACAGACTTTTAGTCTTTGAAAGGGAAATTCTAAGAAAGATCTTTGGGCCATCAAGAAACTGTGATGGCTCCTGGAGAATCAAAACAAACGACAAACTAGATAATCTAATAAAAGGAAGAAACACATTTAACTTCATCAAAGCCCAAAGAATAAGTTGGCTTGGACACATCTCAAGGATGGAGGCTGGACGAACAGTTAAAAGAATATATGACTGGCAGCCACATGCTATGAGAAAGAGGCTGACATAAAACCAGATGGAAAGATGATGTAAGGGAAGATCTAAAGGGCTTAGGAATTTATAACTGGACAACTCGCACACAGGACAGAAGTACTTGGAAGGAAATTGTTGAGCAGGCCAAAGTGTTCAAGAAATAAAGCTGTCAAGCCTTATGAAGAGGAAGATTCTTCTCTCAAAATTAAGTCCGTACATAGATGAAGTTATTGGGGATCATCATTGTGGGTTTCGACATAACAGATCAACTATGGATCATATCTTTTGCATTAATCAGATATTGGAGAAAAAATGGGAGTACAATGAGATAGTATGTCAGCTATTCATAGACTTCAAGAAAGCCTATGATTCAGTTAAGAGGGAAGTGACTGCACTTAAATGGGACACTTCAGCTGTTGGTCTATGCCAATGATGTGAATATACTAGTCGTGATAGTTACAGTAATTACTCAGAATGCTTTGCTTTGGGATGTGTGAACTCAGACTTTGTGTTATTGTGGTCTAAAGCAATCCTTGATACTTCTACAGTTATTATGTTCTTGGACACAACGTTTGAGAGACTGGATTCTGTCTCCATCTTCAGGTAAAAGCATATTCAGTTGGGTCCAATTGATAGAACTAGGCTCCCTCTGGACAACAGCACCAACACAAGATGAGGTATATGAAACAAATACAAAATAAACCATCAGTAAGAGTTAAGACAAACATCAAAAACATGAAGAAAAACTGCATACATGAGGCATAGCACCTATGTGCATACATTCTTTAACAGCCAGTGTTTATAACATGAGAGTACTGTCAGAATAGAAGCCATCACTGATGTATAGTACCAACATAAAAGCACACCTTTCTCACATAATCTACAATTGACAGAGTTGTTTTCTGAATAATGCTGCAGTGATGGGAGTCCAAGCTGGGTTGGCTGAGCAGATGAGCTATCAGAGACCTGTGTGTGGATTCCTTGTATTTTCTGTAGATGGTGTTCGGTTCAATCTGCAAGACCTTCACTTCTTTCCCACATATTTTTTGGCTTTCTTCATATACATGTCAGGCTAATTTTTATTATCAAGTGGACCTTGTTTCAGGTCATGTTTATGCTCCTTAAAGCATACTTAAAAAGGTCTGCTTATTTTGCCGATGTAACATCTGCCACAATGACACAGGACATTGTAAACATGCTTTTCCTGCTGGGGAACTAACTGTCCCAGTTTTCATCAGTGTTCCATGGAGCATATGTTTAGTTTTGAAAATCTTCCTGACATTGAAACAGTTCCCAATGCATCTGAATTTCTTGGAGATACCCTGAACTTATGGGATAATGACAGTGCACTGGTGTATTTTATCTGAAGAAGGATGGTTGCTTATCGATGGCTTAATTATGGAGGCAACAAATTGTTATGGGTATTCATTAAGTATCAGATCATATCTTATGTTCTTAATTCCATTGTTGAAATCCTGATCCTGACATATGATCTTTACTACTGATCAGGCTATGGATATCTCCTCTTTTCACATGATGTATGATTGGACTTGAAGTGCAGATAACGACCTGTATGAATAGATTTCCGATACACTTGTATGACCAATTCCGGACGGTTGCAAAATGACGGCTTCACCTAAGAAATCAACAAAATCCTAAACATGGTCAGTGGCCCAAAAGAAAATAAATGATTGTAGCACAGTCTGCACAGAGAAAGAGAGCTAATGGAATGTCAGAACAACTTGCTTATCAGATTGCCTGAGGACCAGAGTGCCTGATCAGCAGATACCAGCAGAGCCAAACATTTTTATAATAAACATCAGACAAAATTTCCAAGTTGACCTCTCAGGACCAGGTATCTGCAAGCTCTGAGTGCAGAGGAACAGCTGCTAGCCCTGGCAAGAGGCGTAAACGTCGGGAGATGCATACACACAGAAAGTACAACCTGAATGATGTACAAGGTGAAAAGGTCTGCACACAAGCTGTGCATGTGTTCCAGCTGGCGTACTGCATTCACAAGACCCAGTCTCTATATGCTGTCTCCACGCCCTGGCATTTTATTTTGTTTGATATCCATTCCAGCATTTTCCATCTACAAGTATGTGTGTCTCCCATATGGTCTTTTTGTTCCTGGTTTTCAGAGAAAGAATGTGTATGTATTATCATTTCTCCTGTGTATGTGTGCTGTATGCCTCACCCATATTCATTTATTTCATCACCCTAATAATATTTATGAAGAGCCAGAATTTGAAGTTTCTCATTATATAATTTTCTTTGACTTCCTCATATTTTGTTCTCCATGTTATTTCCTTGATGTAAGAGACCAAGTTTCACACCTGTACAAAAAACAAGTGTAATTATAGTTGTGTACATTTTTATTTTTACATTTTGGTATGGAATACCATATGGAATAATATTTATGAAGAGTCAGAATTTGAAGTTTCTCATTATATAACTTTCTTTGACTTCCTCATATTTTGTTCTCCATGTTATTCCCTTGATGTAAGAGACCAAGTTTCACACCTGTACAAAAAACAAGTGTAATTATAGTTGTGTACATTTTTATTTTTACATTTTGGTATGGGAGAAGGAAAGACAAAAGATTAAAACTGAAGAGCAGTGAGCATTCTCTGACTTTAATCTGCCTGTAATTTATTTTTAAATTATTACCGTCTTTTCCAGCTTCACATTTTCAATGAATCTGTTAGCTGTCTCTATATTATGACTTTGATGAGACATGAAGATATGCAAATTTGAGATTCTCATGAAGATCACTGTCTTATGGGGTTTGACACTGTGTAATGTGGTAGATGATTTTAGAGTAATGTACCATCTCCATCATTAGGATAGAAGTTGCTCTTCTGCCCTGAAGATGGAAGCAGTACATTCCAACAAAATGTTGGTAATGACCTACCAGACTACATGATGGTCAAATCCCAGAAGACAGTAATCTTCAATATGATCACTGTGGTCGCGGTGCAAGGGCCAAGAAGGCCCACCCCTTATACATTCAGTCTTCAAAATGTACTTTTTTTTCTCATGGTTTCTACTTCTAGATATCTTCCTCATGAGCATCTAATACAGTTCATGTTCTTCTGTATGATAGAGTCAGTAAGTTTTGACTGTAAATTGCACATATTGGTCTAAATGGAATTGCATTTCTCTCATTCAGGCCCCTGTCATACTGAATCCTGCTAATGAAAGAGCTTGTGTGTTTGTTGATGGCTAGATTACATAATGTTGTAAATAGAGCAAATTTGATTGTGTGAAGTAATTTAGATGAGAACCAATGTGTGGGGAAGAAGAGATAATGTTTGGCAGTTTTCCACATTTTATACTAACACCTTTTTGTATTTTTTTATGGTCATGGGGTTCATAAGTTTGTATAATATTTATCTTTTTCTTTAATTCATTGCTACTACATTTATTGCAGTGATTGCTGGTATAAAACATAACACACACACTGGTCAATGGCTGACAACATTCAAAGCAACATGGCACCCTCAGCGAGATGATGTTTTTGTTGTTGGCAGCATGGAACAGCCCAGAGGTGTAAGTTGAGGCAGTCATATCTGCAATATGTTGAGACTGAGTGTTCACCCCTTGCTGAGTGATTAGCACTCTGCTTTGTATATTGGAGTTCTGTCCTTGTTCTCTAGGCAGACCAGCTTGAAGGTTTTCATGGTTTTCCTAGGTCCTTCCAAGAAAATCCTAAGATAGTTCTTTACAGTTGGCTGTGACTAGTTCTAACATGTAATGGTTCTGTGACCAGTAGATTATGATTACAAAATCAAGTGTTTGACCAAAATGTATTGACTTTTGTCTACAAATGGGAAAAGGTAAGAGCTCTAGCCACATGTCCCTAGAATATGTCGAATTTTCTTCTTGTACTCTTTCAGATCCTTCTGTACAGTTGTAAAGGTGAACGTTTACACAAGCTGATGGATGAAAATCTGGCTTCTGTTTGTTCAGTATGTGCATTCCATCCAACTCAAGAAATTGTATTTGGTGGCAATAGTTCTGGAAGAGTGCATGTCTTTATGTGATGAGACTGTTCTTCAAACATATGGTAAGGCATGTGTGCAACACACAGAATTGTCAGATGTCACCAGTTCCTACTTGTAGGATCAAATGCAGAAGATACATTGGGATGAAAAGTTGTCTTTATAAGATTGTGTTTTCATTTGAAAATTTGTTCATTGCTGCATGGGATTGTTTTATGCTTATATGTGAACTCAATTTGATTCATAGTTAACTCATTTCTTGTGCTTATGATGAATGTGTAAATCATTACCACTATTCTCTTGGTTGAGTGAACTTAACTCTTCCAAAATATCTTTGTCTCTGCAGAGTGATCATTAAATATGGGATGATTCACTCAGAGGAGGCCATAATTTAATAATTATGAATGATACAATATTTTACTGTTGAAAACAAAGTACAGTGCATTCTCTTTTATTCAGATTTGAAGTAATGCAATATAAAAGTCTCACATTATGCACAAAGTTTGAATTAATGCAAATTTCTACCTATGATAAAACTTCTCTTGAATTATGCCGTGTCTTCAAGAACGTGTCCCTAGCATAAAATATGACTGCATTGTACAAATCTTGGTAGATATGGAGATATATGAGTAACAGGAGATGCTGAAATTGGATTACCTCAACCTGGAGACACAGGATGACGCAGTGCTCATGTCTGTATATATTGTCATCCCGTGCTCCCAGAGGCGGCGTCCCTCTTTGCTGCTGCTGCGGGAGGATGCTGGATGTAGCTGAGCAGAAGCATCTTTCTTGGATCTTTGTGGGCGCCGTCAGAGTAAAAGCTCACGACAATGCTTCAGCCAAGTTGGGTATATGTAGATTTATTTAACTCAAACAGATTACGCTGGGTACAAGATGATGTGTAGGCCGGGCCAGAGCACAGTTGAGAATTTTCTAAGTTCCCTTCTGAGAGCAGACTGACATGAAGACTGCCCTCTAGTGGATTCGTGAAAGATGTCCCCCTGGCTGTCATCCACACTGGGTTTAAAAAGACCCACATACAAAGGAGGGTGATACTGTGTCCTCTCTCCCGTGCATCCGTTCCATGACCTGAATATCTAGTTACAAAATATAAATTCTATCTTAGCTCTAGTGAAAGCTGGACGGTGTGGGATGCATTCGCCGAATTTAAGGTTCGTTTCCCAAATCTTTAATGTAAGAAGTATTTAGATGTCACTACACCCCCGTGAAATACAGTCACACAGGTGTGCCATCCATGAGACTGCTGGATACACAAGTTATCAATATAATGTGACAACCCAAAAGGGAAGCCTTAGAGATATCTACTCAATGCCATGCTAACAAACTACAATACAATACTCTACCGAATACAATGGTACAGATAGGTTACATATAAGGATTTCAGTGATGCAGAAATGCAGAGGTTAGGTATAGGGATTTCACAAAATAAGGAGTCTTGGTTCCTGTAGCTATACAGGATGCTGCAATTTTATTCCAATGCAAGACATGTGGAATCACAGACTGAAAGAAATGACATGAATTAGGCAGGCACTGGGTCAGTGTTGTGAAGTTTAGTTCTCATTGGTAAATTATTACTTGATTTATAATCGTTAATGTGGGACTTCTGTTAGTGAATCACCTTATATGTTGACATTAAATTATTGAGATTAACTTTCACTCATATATGTTTCAGTTCAATGAAGTTGGTTTTTTCTTTTTGTCTGATGCAGTGATTGCCCGATATGGGTGGTGAGATCCTTTGCACATCCATACTTTGCAACTTGAAATGACTTGGAGCAACATAGATAGCTCTATTATTCAGTCTGTACTAGTTAATCCAGCCATACACTAGTGCTGCCATCAGTTATATTCATTATAGAAACAGAAGAATCACTCAGGGTCTTACATAAGGCTGTTCCAATTTTCAGATCTTCCCCCCCACATAGTGTGTTGTTATGATGGCTATATGTCTTTTAAATATCTGGCATTTGGGACTACATCCAATTCTGAATGTTATATAAAACTCACTGTGTCCATGTAATATGTATTATTTGAGAACTGGAGTTGTTACATGTCATACTTGTTTTCTCTGACATGCACAGTTATACACTCTACACATTCCCATAATCATTTATTTTTCTGGCTATATTGCAAATACCATACATAGTGAAATGTTAATATAATATATATATTCTTTTAATTCGCTTAGTGGGGGGTGGAGTCCAACTGGGTCCACTCGGCATGGAGGCTACTGATTGGCCTATTGTAGCCTGCCTCGGGTGATTATGATGATGGAGAATTTGGTGGAATGAAGATTAGCAGGGGAAACCGAAGTACTCGGAGAAAACCCACCCCAGCTCCACTTTGTCCACCATAAATCCCACTTGACCAGACCCGGAATCGAACCCGGGCTGCCACGGTGGGAAGCCAGTGACTAACCACTTGAGCTATGGCGCGGCCAATATAATATACAGTAGAACTTGGTTATAACGTCATCAAAGGGACCTAAAAATAGTGTCGTTATAAACAAATGTCGTTGTAACCGAAATGGGCACTTCCACAGTAGCCTTATGTTAGTCACGTAAAAATCTACCAAAAACCGAGTTAAAATGTTGCATTTTTTAGTGAAATACATAGTTAACTACAGACTAACGTAACATTAACGTGGAATTGCCCAAATGTGTAATATCAAAGACATATTACAGCGCTTTTCACTGACAATACACACCGCACTAATACTGTATATTAAAGGTAGGCCTACTCACCAAATTACAGTAGATTACATCAATTGTTGTGCCTTACTGTACCTAGATACGAGTACAGCAATCAGTTATCTTCATCTGTTTCCTGTTACTTGCCCAATACACACTTTCTAAATTACGTTCAATGTCCATATCAGAGAAATTCAGGAATGAAAATGACGTTACATACGAGGTTGATGCATTTGTGCATGTCGTACTAAGCAAGGTATAAAAACAGTTGCTTTATGAGGAATTAGTTCGTACCATTGAATATTTGACGCAATAGACAAGGTGTCGCAGAAACCGATGTTGCTATAACCAAGTTTTACTGTATAAATAGGACTTGGTGGTCTTGGGATAATATTCTGGACTCTCATTCAGAAGGTTTAGGGTTTGATCCCTCATCAGGTTTGTGCATGGATGTTTTTCGGCTCACAGATTGAAGCCATTTCACATACCAAAACATTGGGAATGTGAAGAATGCCTTCCTCAGAGTATTATTTTTCCATTTTCATCAGTTTGTGACAAAGGCAATACTAATTTTTTGAAAATTTTACTTAACAATTACATTTGGTGTAAGATGTAAAATTTACTGATTAATAAGCTGATGGAGTAAATGAAACATGATGCGGCCCCAGTAGTTACATTAGAGCTTCTACCACAAACATTCCTGTATGCCTCTGGACAATACAACTGTATTGACTGTGGGTTATAGTTGAGCCTACCAAAAAATTCTCATGGCACTGGGGCAAGATTTGCTGGGAGGGGAAGGCCTGTTCCCCAACTTGAATGACACCAAAATTTAATTTAATAATGTTTTTATGTCTGTGAATGATATTTGTCCAAGATGTGTATGTGGTGGGTTAAATTTAGAATTTTTAAGGAGACTGATACAAACATGTCTGACCCCAACCAAATCAAAAGTGCGAGTCCTCACAAGTCATATATTTTGGCTTCATGTCTCCTTGAATAATTTAGGTTCAAAGGAGACGTGCCATTAGAAGTACTTGCATTTTACCAGTCACTGCAGACTGACCTGTTTCATAATGTAGAACAATTTTCAACTTGAGGGACAACTGAAACTGAAACCCAGCACGCTGAAACAGTTTGTTCAAAAAGTCACTTGTTTCACAACCCTCCCCAAGACAAGTTATGACCCATTCAAATTCCACAAAAAAAATAATATGCAAAATCAAAATTAGAATCAATTACTAATTACTCTAATTAAACAATATACTTCTGGCCATTACAGGTCTAACAATCCATAATTCAGTAATTGACATCATACAAGGACATTTCACATGTAGCCTTTACAGATTTCATACCTCAGAAGAGAATTCATGATCTGGGAATTACTGTATTCATTTAGAAAATAACCTCAGCTTGTGTATAGGATTGTGAAATTCTTCAACTTTTACAGCAGCATGTCTACCACATCATCATCATGATTGTCATCATCTTCATCCCCATCATCAGGAGGAGTGCATGCATAACAGATTTTCTTGACATCCTTCCAGCATTGAAAGCAATAAATAAAGTAACATTTAGGATTTGGGCAAGAAACAAAATCCTCTTCACCTCTGGGTTTCCTGGGCTCTGGTTCTTCACAGATTAAACATTTGCGTCTTGCAGCTGCGAAAAACTTCAGCCAGCTGCAGCACTTAGGATATCGGAGAGTCATCACAAGGAGAATGTTGGCATCCATCTGTGGAAACAACCATTTAAGTAAATAACTCCTTATTACATATGAACAAGCTTTTTACTTTTATTTTGTTAACTTCAGTTCCATCCATGTTAGGTGGGTCCTTTGTCACCACGGCATGGCGTGTCTTCAGGTTGCGGATGGAGGGGACGCCCTCCAGTTTTGGAGGGAAGCTGCGAATATACTGAATAAGCAGTCACGGACAGCTGACAAAAGGTGGTCCTCCAGCTTGGGGGTTGGGCCTGGGGTTAACAACTTCTCACCGTAAAAAATAATTATGTTACAAAAATGAACACAAAGCCTCGAACCCAGATGGATTCTTTGGATAAACGACCTAAGCTAAAGAAAAGGGATATGAGACTTGGCACTTGGAATGTTTGAAGTTTGTATAGGGCAGTTTTGCTCAGGGCAGTGGCAGAAGAAATCTTAAAATATAAGTTAGATTTAGCGGGATTTCAGGAGGTCAGATGGGATGGAAATGGCATTGCACCAGCAGGAGACTATACATTTTTCTATGGAAACGGAAATGAAAACCATGAATTAGGTACAGGTTTCTTCGTACTTAAGAAAATCGTTACAGCAGTTAAGAGGGTAGAGTTCTTTAGTGATAGGATATCAGATATCATACTAAAGGTCACTGGTGTGATATCATTGTTATGAATGTTCACACCTGAACAGAAGATAAAATTGATTACATAAAGGATAGATTCTATGAAGAACTAGAACATGTATTTGATAAATTCCTGAAGTACCCTATGAAAATTCTGTTAGGAGATTTTAATGCCAAAGTAGGGAGGGAAGACATTGTCAAACCAACGATTGGGAATGAGAGTTTGCATGAAATTAGTAATGATAATGGAGTTAGAGTAGTAAACTTTGCCACATCATAAACGCTTACTGTCAAAAATACAATGTTCCCACATCGTAACATCCATAAATTTACTTGGACATCTCCTGATGGGAAGATACACAATCAAATAGACCATGTTTTGATAGATAGGAGACGGCACTCAAGTATACTTGATGTCCAATCATTCAGGGCAACAGATTGTGATACTGACTACTACCTAGTGGTGGCAAAGGTTAGGGAAAGACTGGCAGTGAGCAAACAAACAACACACAGAGTTCATATGGAGAGGTTCAATCTCAAGAAATGAAATGTAGAGGGTAAAGAGCAGTATTGTGTTGAAATCTCAAATAGGTTCATAGCTTTTGAAAACTTGGAAACAGGTGGATGTTCATAAAGCTTGGGAAACTATTAGAGAGAATATGAAAATGTCTGCCAAAGAGAGTCTAGGTTATTATGAACCGAAGAAGCATAAGCCATGGTTCAATGAAGGATGCTCAGAATTATTAGATCAAAGAAAGCAGGCCAAATTGCAATGATTACAGAATTCAAGCGTGTTAAATGGTGATAATCTGAACAATATCAGATGTGAAACCAGTAGGCATTTCAGGAACAAAAAGAGGGAATATCTGAAAGACAAAATTTATGAGCTTGCAAAGAACATTAGAGACCTGTTTAGAGGAATAAATGACTTTAAGAGGGGTTACCAGCCTAGCAGTAACCTAGTGAAGGATGAGAATGGTGATCTGCTTGCAGATTCCCACATTTTGAATAGATGGAGGAACTACTTCTCTCAGTTAGTTAATGTACATAGGGTCAGTGATGTTAGCAAGACAGAAATCCACAGAGCTGAGCCATTAATACCTGATCCTAGCCCTTTTTAGTTTGAAAGTTCTAATGCAAAATTGAAACTGTGTAAATCACCAGGTAGTGATCAGATTCCAGCAGAACTTATTCAAGCAGGAGGCGAAATATTACGTTCTAAGATCCACAATCTAATTACTTCTATTTGGCATAAGGAAAAATTGCTTGATCAGTGGAAGGAGTCCATTATTGTACCAGTTCACAAGAAGGGTGATAAAAGTGACTGTAGTAATTATCGGGGGATATCACTGCTATCAGAACTGTTTTGCAAGAGACTGTGGACCTGTCGTCTTGACAGATTATGTATGAATGAATGAATCACTGCTATCAACTTCATATAAAATTTTATCCAATATTCTTCTCTCAAGGTTAAGTCCATACATAGATAAAATTATTGGGGATCATCAGTGTTTGTTTCGACGTAACAGATCAACTACAGATCAAATCTTTTGCATTTGTCGGATATTGGAGAAAAATGGGAGTACGATGAGAGAGTACATCAGCTATTCATAGATTTCAAGAAAGCCTATGATTCAGTTAGGAGGGAAGTATTGTACAATACATTGTTCAATGTATTCTGATAGAGTCTGGAATACCAATGAAACTAGTTAGGTTGATTAAAATATGTTTAAACGAAACGTATAGTAAAGTCCGTGTAGGTAAACATTTGCCGGATAAATTTCCTATCCAGAATGGTCTAAAACAAGATGCTTTATCGCCACTCCTCTTCAACTTTGCTTTAGAATATGCCATTAGGAAGGTCCAGGGAAGCCAGGTGGGACTGAAATTAAATAGGACACATCAGCTGTTGGCCTATGCCGATGATGCGAATCTACTGGGTGATAATATACTACCACAGTCAATAAATTCGTGGAATGGCCGCAAAGCGTTGTACGTGAATTTACTGCCAATATGTTTCAGCAATGTTTTTGACAGCTATATCAACATTGGCAGACTTGCTAGCGTCCAACGGAAACTATTTTGAGGGCCTATGTGGATCTGTGCAAGTGTATGTGAATACTTTATAATATGATGAGATAAAACTACATTCCACGAACTTAATGACAACTATGTAGATATCATAAAGGAAAACACACAAGCTTTAATTGACGCAAGTAAAGAGGTTGGTCTTGATGTAAACACAGAAAACTACGTGTATGTTACTGTCTCATCACTAAAATACAGGGCAAAATCATGACATAAAGATAGGAAACAGATGTTTTGAAAATGTGGCACAGTTCAGATATTTGGGAACACTGATAACAGATCAAAACCTGATTCAGGAGGAAATTAAGAGGAGATTGAACTCTGGTAATGCTTGCTACCATTCAGTCCAGAACCTTTTGTCTTTTCGTCTGCTGTCCAAAAACATAAAAATTAGAATATACAAAACTATAATTTTGCCTGTGGTTCTGTATGGGTGTGAAACTTGATCTCTGACTTTAATGGAGGAACATGTATTGAGAGTGTTTGAGAACAGGGTGTTGAGAATATTTGGACCGAAGAGAGATGAAGTGACAGGAGGTTGGAGAAAACTGCATAATGAAGAGCTTTATAACTTGTACTCTTCTCCAAGTATAACTAGAATGATCAAGTCAAGGAGGATGAGGTGGTCAGGGCATGTAGCACAAATGTGGGAGATGAGGAATGCGTATAGGATATTGGTGGGAAAGCCAGAAGGAAAGAGACCACTGGGAAGACGAAGGCGTAGGTGGGTGGACAATACTAAAATGGATCTTAGAGAGATAAGATGAGATGGATTGGATTGATCTGGCTCAGGATAGGGACCAGTGGAGGGCTCTTGTAAATATGGTAATGAACCTTTGGGTTCCATAAAATGCTTGGATTTTCTTGAGTAGCTGCAGAATTTGCGGCTCCTCCTGAAGGGCTCAGCTCCATGAGTAAGTAAGTAACTTCAGTTCCATAGAAGCAACTAAAATCTGACCGAGTCTTACATCAAAATTGTATCAGACATTATTTATGGAGTACTGTAAAATTGCTGGGACCTGCAGGATACTGCACTCTTGCAGTACTAAATTGCCTTTAGTGTGTCATCCTTACAGTTTGAGATAACCATGTTCTGTGTGTGTCTGCAGTTTGAACCAGTGGATAGGTTTTCATGAAACCTGGTATGAACATCATTCCAGAGGATATGCTGCCCTGTTCTTGCACCTTCATGTAAAAGTAAATTGATTGCTTTCCCTACACACTTCATCCTGAAGTTGGAGGCGGCATGTTCTCCTGAAATATCTGTATCTGCATACAAGACTATATGTTGTCAAGACCCAGAAGTCCACAATTTGAACATATCACTTATAAAGACCTTGAAATTTGTATGTTGAAAAAATTGTTGTAGAAACCATTAAGAGGTTGAAGGGAAACCACACTGTACATTTACAGTATGTATTGATTTGTTATGTAATATATATTTAATGGCTATAATGAGCCCATGACTAGTGTAATGCAAGTTGAAAATTCAGCTCAAAATGTTGTTTGTTATTGTTTGCAGACTTAATACAGTTTAATTATATCAGAAAAGGGAAACTGCAATAATATATAGGATTTGGTGTAAAGAGTTTTGGCACATCCAGTCTTCTGGTAGTGACATAGCCCATATGCATATTCAGTCTCTTAGGGAGACCCAAGACACCGTGTTATGTAAATGTGATGTACTGTATATAAAAATATAACTTTATGTTATCCACCATGGACCTAATAGAGACCTCCCAAAGATGTTATGAAATTCCCTGCGTGCTCCTGCCAATATGTGTGCCAGCCACAGCTGTTCAAGTGATGTTCAAGTGATGTGCAAGTGCTACAGTACAGGTTTTGGATGTAATTTGAACCCTCATTCCCTGTGTCTTCTTGTTTTACTTCAGATCATTGTATTGTAGATGAAAGAACCATTTCCCTGTCAGTGAGATTCGTTCACTCGTTACCTTCTTTAGCACAAGAACAGATTTATAAATTGCATATGCTTAAATGAGATTATGGATGCATGTGATAGCATAGTTGGTTGACACACTAAGCTGGAAGGTCATAGGTTTGAATATCAATAAGGTTATTGGATTTTCAATTGACCTAATCCTTCCAGCTGCACTATGGCCCTGAGGTTGACTCAGCTTCTAACAGAAATGAGTACCAGGAATCTTTCTGGAGATAAAGGGCGGCTGGCACATAAGGCTGACAGCCTCACTGCCATCTGTGAGCTGATTATCTAAAAAATTTGGGAGCCTCAACGTCTCACAACCCTATGGGCCTTCATGGCCTGTTACAGGGATAGATTTAACTTTACTTAAATGAGATTATGCCATACTTCAGTGAACACAATACTTGAATGTTGTATTGATATTGACAGTGAAAGGAACCATGTTCCAGGTACTTCTGCTAGTATTCAGTATAGAAACTGAAATGAAGAAATAGAGAAATATCTATTCCCAAAATATTTTTCAGGAATTAATGACTGTAAATTGTGGAATGATATAGAATTGTTCAATTATAACTTGTTTGTTTTCGTCTTCATCTTGTGTTGTGTTCTCATGGCAGAAGCTCATGGCAGTGACTATGTAGGTCACGGTTTTCTGAGATCATTTGGTTGATAGTGTACATGTTTACCACAAGAGTACATGGCATCGCATCCCAGAAGACAGTATGTCGAAGAACGCGTTGAAGGATAAATAATTTCTTCATTGGTTGTCTTTTTAAGAATTTGCTTATAGGTTTATTCTGGCTTCCATGTAATGACTGTGAGGCTTTTGGAATTGTTTTTGATATCTGACATTCTATCATGTGTCCTCACTGTATTTCATTCAAATGTACATATTCAAATAACATGTAAAATAAAAGTTGTAGCCCTTAATAATATCAAGGTGTTGTGTACTGTGCTGTTTTTTCCTTGTGTGAAGATCTGCTTCTGTATAAAACTGATATAGAGTTTCATGTGAAGCAGAGGCACAGTTGATTGACATGAACTGAAATTGAATGTGCTGCAGAACTCTTGCTGTGGAGATTCAGCATGGGATTTCAGTTAAATCTGTTCACTATTTTTGGTTATGGAAAATGCCAGTACGCATATTATTTAACCATTTAGTATGTCAGGCAGTAAATGAATGAAAATGGAATATACACACCTCAAGAATTTGTTCTCTTGCTGTTCTTCTTACTTTGGATTTCATGAATTTAAAGAGACCTTTGCGCCTTCTCAGTGTTTCATTATAGAGAAATAACACCCTCTTCTTCTCCCTCTGTGGAAGGAGGACATTAGTTAGTACACATTGCTGTTTTTGGTGTAAAACTTTCTATTGCAGGGATTCTCATGCCAGTGTTTCCCAGTACATGTACAGGACAGCCGTCAAAATATTGACTCTGATGTATGTCCGACATTAGGAATAGACTTGCCATATGTTCTCTTATTTCTGGTGGAAGGGGCATGTGATAGTAGGTTGAGAGACTGTGCTACAAGCCGGAACGTTATGGCTTTGATTCCCGATGAGGTCATTGGATTTTTCAATTGACCTAATCTGTCAGCCACCCTATGGCCCTGGGATTGACTTAGCCTCTAACTGAAATGAGTACCAAGAATCTTCTTGGTGATAAAGGGCAGCTGACGCTTAAGGCTGACAACCTCACCGCAATCTGTGAGCTGATTGTCTAGAAAATGTGGGACTCTCGATGTCAACTCTATGGGCCTCCACAGCCTGTTGCAGGGATAGCTTTAACCTTTACCAATTTCCGGTGGAATCATCCATGCAATGGCAAATTGTACTTTTATGGTATCCCATACTGTTGTTATGTAGTTATGTTTCTTGTATGCAGTGGTAGCAAAATTGGATTATATAAGGGGCAGTCAAATGAAAACTGATCACCACGCTTAACTCACACGGCACCCAAGTTGGTGACACTGGAATTTCCATACGGTATGAACATGTGGTGGGGACTTGGGAAAGCACAGTGATAACGTGCGCTTTCACACTAGTCGTTTGTTTATTGTGCTGGAGTTAAGTTTAGCGTTACGTGTGGTCGTCCAACACCAGTAATGGAGACGGGTAAAGAAGAACAGCGAAGTGTAGTGCGCTTTTTGACTGCTGAAGGAGTAAGGGGACAAGACATTCATCGTCGCATGTCTGTTGTTTACGGCGAACACAGCATGTCACGCTCGCGTGCGCTAGCATGACAAAGAGATTCCAAGAGGGACGTGTGTCACGGCAAGATGATGTTCCCTCAGGACAGGCTCATCGTGTCATCACTCCTGATGTTATTGCTGCGTTGGATGGTCATATCCAGGCAAACCGACAGATCACTGTGGAAGGAATTAGTCTTATGATGGGAATAAGTCACGCTTCCATACACACCATTGTGACAAAACACCTGCTGTACCGCAAAATCTGCGCGCAGTGGGTTCCACGTCAACTCACGGTGGAACAGAAGACTCAGAGAATGGCTGCATCACTGGGCCACTTGCAACGATACCATGATGAAGAGTATGCTTTTCTGTCCTGTATTGCCACTGGGGACGAAACTTGGTGCCACCATTTTGGACCCGAGAGAAAATGGCATAGCCGACAGTGGAAACACGTGAATTCTCCTCCACCGAAGAAAGAGAAAGCCGTACACACAAGTTCCGGTAAAGTGATGATGATGTTCTTCTTCTACTGCAAGGGCCCTCTGCTTTCGAATTTCTCGAACATGGGGTCACAATCAGTGCACAGCGGTATGAAGACACTTTGCAGAAACTGAGATGTGCCATAAAGTGAAAACGCCCTGGAATGCTATCGAACGGCATTGTCCTTCTTCATGATAATGCGTGCCCCGACACTGCCAAATCTGTGAGGAATATGCTACAGAGATATTGGTGGGAAGTGTTTAAACATCCTCCCTACAGCCCAGATCTCTCTCCATGTGTTTTTGACAATTTTGGAGAGACATAAAGAGAGACATTCATGGACATCGGTTTGCATCGGACGAAGACGTGTGTGGTTGGGTAAAGATGTGGTTCCGTATACAGCCCACAAGCATTTTCAAGGATGGGATTGACCGTTTTATTTCCCAGTTGGATAAATGTTTTAAGAGTTTTGGAGATTACTTTTGAGGTAAGAAATGTCATTTAATGTGTTTTGGCTTCTGACCCGTTTTCATTTGACTGCCCCCTCATAGTTCAGTCTTTTTGACATTTTTGTGTGCTGATGTTTCCCTTAACATAATTCAATTTTTTTATAGGGAAAGACTGTCTTTTAAAGGGGAGTAAATGGCCTTTGAAAATCATGTAGATATCAAATTTCAGTGAAATCTGATGTAGGATTTATGGGATACACGGAAAAGTTCTTTCATGGCATTACGCAAATTAGACTTTGTTATGAAGCAGTAGATGGGAATGGAAGCTTCTCATACCAGATTTTAAGGAAATCTCCCCAATGGTTTGTGTCCTGATTATGGAGATAGGTTAATGGATGTAACCTCAACACAAGGATTCCTTTTGCATTGTATGAGTAAAAGACCAAACAGATGCTTCAGACTTTTATAATTCCACAATAAATTAAAGTAGGCGAATTTATAGTAACTTGGTTCAAGTGAAAGGCTGTGTGATTAGACAAACTATCTGTAAGACGAATGTTTCTGTAAACAGAATTCGTAATTCTGTTAGCGAGTGAACAATCAGTACCACAAAAATTTGCCAGTTGGTTTATTAATTTTTGATGTCACTAGTGGGCCTCAGGTGATGAGTATGGAACAGACAGTGGAATGGTAATTGGCAAGAGAAACTGAAGTACTTGCATTAAACCTGCCTCAATACTACCTCGTTTGCCACAAATCCCACATGACCTGACCTGCAGTTGAACCCAGGCTGACAAATTTGGGAAACTCGTGACTAGTTGCCCAAGCTGTAGGCATGGCCAAGTTTAATAGTAAACTGAATATACAAGGTGATTCAGAAAGATGGACACAATTTCAATTGGCTATATTTCCTGAATTATATGTTGCATTTGAATTCTGTAAATTACACTTGATTATACATACATGGAAGTTTATAGATGTTCAATGTGCACCCCCCTCCTCCGGCTGCACGGATAACATCTAGACGGTAGCTGAATTCATCCTACACTCGACAAATATCTTGCGTCACTGAGTTCACCGCAGCTGTGATACAGTTTCTTAGGTCATTCAAATTTGTGGGAAGAGGTGGTACACGCCACACAGTTGTTTGCGATAGTCCAAGTTCTCTACTAGCACTACGGGTTGACTTCATTGGACTGCGCTCGAAGTTCACTCGAATGCAATCCACGTTCTCCTCCGATACACGCGATCGGCCCGGGACGCAGTGATGGAGGGCACTAGCGGTAGTACTAGAAACTTTGTAACATCCTCTTTCAAATGTACTTTACAGAATTCAAATGCAACATACAGTTCAGGAAATATAGTCAATTGAAATTGTGTCCATCTTTCTGAATCACTCTGTATTTGTTTTGGACTTCACCCATCGTCCCTTATATAAAAGACAAAAAAAAAACCCAGGACGTTTCGGAGACTGGATCTGTCTTCGTCTTCAGGTGGATAGGAAAGGATAAACCTACTCAGTTGGGCCCCTTAGAAAGAGCTAGTCTCAATCACTGGACAAACCCCGATCTGTAGAAACAACCGATAACCGGTTTCATCAGTGGGAGGAAAGAATAAAATCGCAGTAAAAACATGATAAAAAATTTGTGCCAAACATGCACTTGTCAACAATGTAAAGAAACAGAAGTATGGGTTATATTCCATGAATTCAGTTAAAAACGAAAGTAAAAACTGGATAATGTATGCCTAATCTGCATGGATAAAGAATCGTGCACCATGGCGACTTCCGGGAATCAGACTAATCCCCGGAAGAAAACTTGCAGTAGTAGTGGAACCACTAATATTCATAAAATTACATATATATTTGTTAACCTCTTTGATGAGGGGGATCCATATGGGAGAAAAATCCAAACTGGGTTGGCTGATCGGATTGGATGAACATGCCATATGAGCTGATTCTTTGTATTTCCTGTATCTGCTGTTGCTTTCAACCTCCAAGATCCTAGCTTCATCCCAGCTTACCCTGTGACCTTCTTCATATACATGCTGAGCCAGATCCAGTCTCCGAAAAGTCGTGTTCTTTTTTGTCACCTCCATAAAGGACGATGGGTGAAGTCCAAAATAAGCCAAAAGAAGTACAGTATACACCATCGTCAGAATCCTTTCAAGTCTATCTAAACTGAATATGTTACTAAACTAATTTCTGGTTCTGGTGCTCATTCTTTTCTCCTTTACAATTCTATCTTCATGCGTTTCGTTGTCTGATACATACAAACCACACAAACATTAATTTATACAATTTGTTTTGTTATGTACTTCAACTTACTTTTGGATAGAAATAAGCACAGATGGCTCGTTGAAGTCTCTTGGTATATGTCTCTGACAAAAGTATCAAGAACATGCAGAAGTATGTGCCATATATCTTGTACAAATAATAATTGGGCATCATTGTAGGTTGAGGAAGGCAAGCTGTAGAGAAAATAAACCTAGTTATAATGTTGATAAACATGAAATATGTTGTTAAATGACTCTTAATTAAGTTAGTTAAGCCTATAATGTCACTCACATTAAAGATGTTTCTACTAATTCTAGGAAAAACTGAGAATCATGTAATGGAAACAATTTCTTGGATTCACAATTTATAAGCATCACATTGATCAGGTTTGTGCAGTGGCAGTATTCTTTGCGTTATTAAGATGTTCCCAGTTTGAATGTTAAACAGGTTGCCGGCAATTCTGCTAGTTTGCTGTTTTCCACAGTCTTCCTGAGAATGTCACGATAAATGGTGATCATGTTATCATGTTAGTGAACACTATACAGGGTCCTCCAGGAGGATAGATCAATATTCTGGGAGGTCATAGTAGTGGTCATTCTTAGCAGAAAAATGTTTATGCACGTGTATCCCATTCTGAATGGTTTCTGAGATAGAGCCATTTCACTGTACACTGTACAGGTGTAACCTTAATTGTTTCTTGCATCCTGTTGTGTATTTAATCAGTATTAGAGTCAATTTTACCGACCACACAACATATTTTTATTATTATTACACTACATGTTTGGACCTCAAGAGGTCATCCTCAGGTTACGAACACAGCTGTATAATTACACGCAATCACATTTGTCTTCTCACTTATTCGATTCTGTATCTTATTCAGGCTCATGCTCAATAATATATCAAGCTCCTCTCACAAAATACCAGTTAAAATATTATTCTAAATGTCAAAAGTTAAAATTTAAAATTTTTTAATCGAATTTCAATTCAGATCACTAGTTATGCTTTCACTTTCACTTGTTATTCAGTCACTTCCTACTTACACTCATCACTGTGTCAAGTTCACTTTAACTAGTTTAATTATATTATTGGCCATCACGACAAGGACTGTAACAGATCCAGCAACATCAGAGGACGCGGAAGAACAGCGAGACCTCCAAAAAGTGAAAAGTGCAATCGATATCATAAAATTGAGCTTTAATTCATGAACTTTTAACCAATAATATAATTAAACTAGTTAAAGTGAACTTGACACAGTGATGAGTGTAAGTAGGAAGTGACTGAATAACAAGTGAAAGTGAAAGCATAACTAGTGATCTGAATTGAAATTCGATTCAAAAATTTTAACTTTTGACATTTAGAATAACATTTTAACTTGTGTTCTGTGAGAAGAGCTTGATATATTATTGAGCGTGAGCCTGAATAAGATACAGGATCGAATAAGTGAGAAGACGAATGTGATTGCGTGTAATTATACAGCTGTGTTCCTACACCTGAGGATGATCTCTTGAGGTCGAAACATGTAGTGTAATAATAATAAAAATATGTTATGTGGTCGGTAAAATTTACTCTAATACTGTACAGGTGAGCAACGTGACATGTTCTCACATGAGTTGCAAAGTGCATTAATGTTGATGGTGGAATTTTAAAAAATGTAATATACTAGGTAAACTGCACCAACTTTGTCACTTTAACAATAAATACTGATATTAGCAACAGTACGTAATAGCTCTTATCAACAATTCTGGAACTGTACAGTGAAATAGCTCTGTCTTGGAAACTTTTCAGAATAGGGCATGTGCATATACATTTCTTTTTGCTTAGAATGACCGCTGTTATGACCTTTCCTCCTGGAACACTGTATAACTTCTATAGTTGATGTGGTATGTTTAATAATCAAACAGGTTATAAATCTTGTTTATACATTATCTTCAAAACCTTTGCCTATTCCTTGCAAATTGTCTAGAAGTAATTATTCATTGATGTTAAATAATATATTCAGTTGGAAAATATGAATTGCTTGTTAGTGGACAATGTCCTACTGTAATGAATGATTACATTTTGATGAAATACTGCTAGAGTGGGCCTCAGGATTCATCCAAACAGCAATAATCTAATATGAGAATTATGAATGAATTAAATTACTGCAAATTGTATGAGAAAATATACCTTCATTACTGTAGAAGTTCTTGACCCTTTGCCTGATGTTGAAGCTGCCCAGAAGAGACCTTACCATGTTCGCAATCATTCCTGTCCCCTTCACTTTCAGTATCAAGTCATGAGACCCTGAAAATTGATGTATGTTACTCTGGGCCTGTTTATAGTAAAGGCCAATCAAATAAGTAAGGAAGGAAGTAATTATGCAAGTAAGTGGTCAAAAATAATGCAGGATTTGAGTTTCTCAGAGCGAGGACTATGAAGGGCACTGTCTTTTGAGAAGTAATGACATGCAGTCCGGTAGGAGTACACTGGTGTTTTCAAAACTTGTATTGCATCCAGCTTCACAATTGAAGCAGCACGCTTCTCCCTTCTTGCCCATTGTTTGCTTAGCATTTCTTTGAAGTAGTACATACTTCAAAACATCAGTGGACTTCTGCTAGGCTATATGGTGTTACATTCCATAAGGCATTACTCTTGTTGCTAGTTCATCGGTTCAGAAAGGCCTGTAACGAAGTATGCAGAGTGTACAAATATGCTCTGGCAAAAGCATGGACAATGAGGAGGCCTGTTTTCACACATCTGTAGTGATTGATACCTGAATGTATTGTTTCTATCCTCAACTTGCAGCAGATGCAATGTTCTTATGCACGTATTCGTGACAACTTTTATCAAACTCATCGGCTTTGTTATGGTTCCTGGTGGGTCACTACCGGTGTATTAGTACGTCCAATTTGGGTTTGATAAATGGGCTTCCCCCCTCCCTCTTCCCCACGAGAGTAGTACTAACAGTTGAAGAGTGCAGTGAGGGGGTTCCAAGAATTGAGAAACGCCATGAAATTCAAGGAAGAAAACTGGCCTTAGTGTAAACATTTCTCCGTTAATTTTAATAGGATTAATTTTGCTTACTTGAACCAAAGATACAAGTTACCAATGAAGTCTTGTTTATAGCTTATGTTGATTACTTGTTGCTAAAAATCTCCACATGTTTTGGTCTCACATGACCATAATCAAGGGGGTTCACCTCATGAAAATAAATCTTATGACACATAAAAGTAAAGAATTAAAATACCAGGGACATAAACCTAACTCAGCATTTTGTTGTCACATATTGGAGTTCTTGGGAAAATGAGGAAACCTGAAACCTTGGTCTCCATCAGGCGAGTAAGGCATTTTGGAGGAGGGCGTTTAGGCTGAGGAGAAGTTTTATCCTTAATTGATTTGCTCGATATTTCAATTTGGATTTTCTTGTTTCTGCTGATTCAGTCGTCGCTATGCTTGGACACCCTACATGTAATGTGTTGAGCGGTGGGACTGTCGATTCAGTCTGAATGAGTGTGGAACCATCGGACCACAGGAGCGTCAAGCCATTCCTCTGAACCATTTGCCCAACTGTCTGGGAAGAGCACACTGTATGTCACATATAGGAGAACAAAATGTGTTGCCCAAACAAAAGGCATGTGTGGATCACCGCATCCGTTAACTGGCCTGAGTATTTTAATGTAACTTTTGGGCTACCATATTTCTTCAAATATTATTTTCTCATAGATAGATAGAGTACATGAAATGCGAGTCCTATGCGCACTCGAAGGACATCTAGGCAACAAGAACAAATTAAATATTTGTAGTAACAAATAGTTTTAGAATGTTCTTCATGTTGAAAAATTCTGAATCGCAGGACACATGACAAATCTATATAAATAAAAATGTAAATGTTCGTTTGTCCCTGATCGAAAATCTGCGAAAGTTCTTCACCGATTGCTTTGAAATTTTGACACAACGTTGCATTCGAATACGCGCGTTTTTTTATGTACCTCTTATACAGATGTCACACCTGTGACAGGTAAAAACAGGTAAAAACATGTCACATGTTCCGAATCTAGCAGTCGTTTCCATAGTAACGCTAGAACAGTTGCATAGGATAAGAGGTTCCGTTGCGTAACAACGGATGAAACCGGAAAGTATACTTCCATGGAAACGCAATAACAGTGGGCCGTTGCATAGGAATTGCCGAAACAACAAACGGGCTTCCCCGGAGATGAGAGGATAAGAGGTTCCGTTGTGCAACAACGGATGAAACCAAACATTTCTACAGGATGTTCTGTTGCCCATCGAATACCAACAGATCGTTGCCTAGGAATAACCGCGGCAACGAGCACAGAACATGTGAAATCGAACCCTGGGCGAAAGTGCCCTCTATTGCGTCCGAAACCAGGTTATAACAGTCCAGCTCCGAAGAGTTTTTTGGTGATACTGGACGTGATAATAATTGTA